GCGCCACTGACCGACCTACTGAAAAGGGATACGCCCTTCAAATGGGATACTCCGCATCAGCAAGCCATGGAACAGCTACAGACAGCACTGACCACAGCCCCAGTACTCATCCTACCAGACCCCGAGAAGGACTACGTAGTTGAAGCAGACGCTAGTGACCAGGCAGTCGGAGCAGTACTGATGCAGGATCACGGGAACAGTTTACAGCCTATCGCCTACCTCAGTAAGAAACTGCACAGAGCAGAACTAAACTACCCCATCCATGACAAGGAAGCCCTAGCTATAGTCGTAGCCTTCAAGGCGTGGAGGTGTTACCTCGAGGGAGCCAAGACCACAGTCTATACTGACCACTGCAGCCTCAAATACCTGAAGTCACAGCCTACGCTCTCACAACGACAGGTACGGTGGGTGGATTTCTTGGAGACCCACTTCCACTACGACATCATCTACAAGCCCGGGCTACACAACAAAGCAGACGCGTTGAGCCGCCCAGGTCATGTAGCAGGCATCCAACTCGACGGGATGAACCCTCTGCTCAAAGGTCTATTCCAACATGGGTACTCCGTGGACGGCGAGATAGCAACGGCAGAGAAACAGAAACTGTTACAGTGGGAGAAAGACCTAGCGGTAAGGAAGGGTTCAGGAAAGATTTGGGTACCGAATTACGCCCCGCTACGGCAGATCCTATTGGAGGAGTTCCACGACGTACCATACGCGGGACATTTCGGGAGCAACAAGACGTTAGCGGGAATAGCGAAGTATTACTACTGGCCCCAGATGGCAGCAGATGTGCAAAAGTTCGTCACCTCCTGCGACACGTGCCAGCGGATGAAGAGCAGCAAGCAGAAGAAAGCAGGGTTACTTCAGCCTCTACCCGTACCGGAGCAGCCATGGCAGGTCGTTAGTCTCGACTTCATCACAGGACTTCCCTCGACCTCACGGGGACATGATTCCATCCTCGTAGTCATCGATAAGTTCTCCAAAATGGGGCACTTCCTACCGACCAGCGCCACCGCCACAGCAGAAGCAACTGCTCGCCTCTTCTTCGACCGCATCATCACCATCCACGGCATCCCCGCTACACTCATCTCAGACAGAGACCCAAAATTCACCAGTAAGATTTGGAAGGAGCTCATGGGATTATTGGGGACTAAACTTGCGATGTCCTCAGCATACCACCCACAGACTGACGGACAGACAGAGCGACTCAATCAAGTGGTTGAACAGTTACTGCGCACAGCTTGCAAGGACGACGTCAGCCACTGGGACACACAGTTACCGACCCTAGAGTTTGCTTACAACAACGCATCACATGCGGCCACAGGGAAAACTCCTTTCTTCCTGTGTTACGGACGGGAACCACTCACACCACAGCAGCCTACCACACCGGCACACGTCCAAGCCGCACATGACTTCGTCACCACCATGCAGCAGCTATGGGAGAAGACTCAGCGATGACTCACCACGATGCAGACCTCCCAGAAGCAGTATGCCGATCGTCAGCAACGTGATCATTCAGTAGCAGTCGGAGATCAGGTGCTTCTTGACACGCGCAACTTGAACCTGTCTCACCTCCCATCCAAACTCCGGCCTCGCTTCTGTGGTCCTTTTCTCGTTGAGGCACATGTGACACCAGTTACATTCCGCTTGCGCTTACCAGATATGTGGAAGCTTCACAATGCTTTCCATGTGCAGCTACTGAAACCCTACAAGGACCCCAACCAACAGTTCCAGGGACGGCAGCTACCGCCACCTCCACCTGTTCTTGTGCAGGACGAAACCGAGTACGAGATTGAGCGCGTCCTCTCTCATCGGCGCCGCGGCGGCAGGACCCTCGAGTTCCTGATACGCTGGAAGGGATATGACCCCACTGAGGACAGTTGGGTTGCAGAAGCTGATATGGGCAACGCACGCCGTGCTCTCAAGGACTATCTTGTCAAGCAGGGTGTATCTCACGCCACCCAGCTTTGAGGGGGGGACGTGTGAGAGTACGACGGCTTATGCCAGCTATGCTTGCTTGCCTTTACTTTATTATGCTATTTCTAGCATAGGAAAATTATATGCATGCATGAATTGCTTGATTTCCTAGGCTAGGTGCTTTCCTATATTTTATTATAGTTATAGCACCGAGCTAGGTTGCGTGCACCGAATTCTGGCTTTTCGGTTGCCACCGAATTGCCTTCTACCGAATTCGGGAAGGATCTGTTCGGGACGCTTCGCGACCCGCGGAACCTTCGCGTAACACCTGGTTACGGGGCCTTGTATCGAGCCTATATATAGCCTCGTGTTGTACCCAGGTGATCATTCAATTCACATTCTCTTTTGTGAGCTCGATCCTAGATCCTCACACATGGGGCTTGTACTTGGAGGGACACAGCCAGTTGTACTCACCGGTCACTGCGACTCCTCCTACGCCGACGACGTTGAGACTCAGAGGTCTACGCAGGGTTACTGTTTCAGCCTGGGCTCTGGAGCTGTTTCGTGGAGGTCCACTCGGTCCTCTTCTGTTGCAACTTCTACCGCAGAGGCCGAGATCTACACTGGAGCCCTTGCTGCACAGGAGCTACGCTGGCTTGCTCACTGACCTTGGTGAGCGGCCGAGCTCTGCACCGACCTTGTTTGCTGACAACAAGGCGATGATTCTCCTGTGTCGTGAGCCTCGACTGGAGAGCAGAGTGAAGCACATCGACGTCAGGTACTTTCTTCTTCGAGAGTTGCAGAGACGCGGACAGGCTCGTCTGGACTTCGTGGCCTCCGAGGCCAACACTGCAGGCATCTTCACCAAGGCCCTTCAGCCTTGTGACCACCGCCGGTTTTGTCTGCAGTTAGGCCTCGTTGAGACTGGGTCTAGTAGACTGCAGTAGTGAGTTCTTGCCTCTTGTGTATGTGTACCATATATATTAGCTTGTATACTCTTGAACTGGCCTTGTGGCCCTTTGTTTGTGCTCAGACTGTGTGGTGACGTTGTGATCCACCCTGAGCTTTTTTCTCTCTTGCTTGTGACTGGTCTTGTGACCTTAGGTTGCGTTTCTTGTTGCTTGGCATTCCCCACTTAGGCTATGGGGGTGTGTCAAATGTTATAGCCTCTAGTGGATCATGCTATATGGGGTACAAACAGTTAGGGTTAGGCATTTGTACCCCAACCCAACCAATACAACTCATTCCGCTGTGTTTAGTTTCTGAGACCATGACTCGCCCTGCATCGGAGCCGATCGTCGAGCCTGGAAAGATTCTGAGCCATCGGATCCGTCACCCCACGGAAATGAAAAGGATTGAGTTATGCGTTCGCTTGAAGGACCGCACCCCCACGGAAGACTGCCGGGTGCCCCTGGCCTACATTAACCACCCTGCCCTGCAAGTGTACCTGAAGAGCCGGGGTTTTTGTGATATACACGCACTCGCATAGCTGAGGGGGCTTCTTGAGGGGGACAGTGTAAGTATTTTTTCGACATTCTTTACCGCGCGCTTCAACACTGCGTACAGCATCAGCCGTTGTTTGCCCGTTACTGCTAACCAGGCTTTGCCAATCTTCGCATGCACTATTCACCAAAGGGTGCATAGCTGGCCCGGCTGTGTTGGCCTACGCTTCGGGACTATCCCAAACCTCAACGCCAGCATCGCACTAGCTAGCTCGCCCACAAGCGTTACCGTTTACATGTTCGCACATAAGTATTCGCTCATGCCTTCGGTCATACTTTGTACTCTTTTGACCACCTAGTGCAATCCTCGTTATCTCGTTCCATTGCACCCGTAACATGTCGTCAACCCAGCTTAGATACTACTTATTCCCCCAACTTTGTTTAACAACTTATAACTCCTAACAATTTGGTTACTGGTTGTTTGGCTAGCCAGTTGCTGTTTTGCGATGGAAAATAATTTTCGCCAACTCATCAACACTGGCATTTCGCAAACTCCAACGTATGTACGGCTATTGAACCTTTTGTGGGCCACAAGCAACCAGGCGGTAGTTGACACTGTGTGGCATTATCCTGGAGATTATGCGGGTCCTTTCAGAGAATGCCACCCACGTCCAATTTCAAGGCAACGGACAAATGCACGACATTGAACGTTATCGACTGTCCAATTTTTGGAATCACTGGTGCTGGTGTGCCTAATATTCCAGGCGCACAAAAACAGCGTACTGTACAGTGTACACTGATCTTCACACACAAAATTGTAAAAGAATTCGAATCTGCACCTTGGAACACAAAATCATGTACAGTTGCGTACAGTTGAAAAAAGTAGGACCTTCCCTGATTCTTCTACACAGCACAGAAACCCAACTGCGCATTCCTGCTTGTTACGAACAGGCAAATCGTACCAGACGACAGGTTTACGACTCTCTACGACAGAATTCCGTATTCCGTGACGCGATTTCACAACTTGGAACTTTGGTGTGTGCGACGGCTGAAGCTGAATTTTTCACTTGTTACGAGGCCTGGAATGCGTCCTTGTTGGAGCTCCCATTGTGATGCTAACTTCTCCAACCAAACCAACCTGTTTGCTTCTGTCCCTGCCTTCGCTTCGTTTTGTGTGCCTGCTCTGTGTACGACTGATGAAGTTTCTGTCTTTGCGAAGCTGGCGTAGCGGTCACAGGGTATTGATGCGAACGTTGGTATCGGACAAGCCAAGCTTTGACTAGAATCACGTCACGACTGTCGTCGTGCTCCTAGAAGCCGTCGGTTAGCGCAGTTTTGGACCGCGACGTTGCCGAGTCTGCTCGACAGAATGATATAATTATGTAATGGCGGATATCCAGGAAAACTCTGATGCTCTGAACGAGTAAAAGCCGCCCTTTCAGCGCTTTCCAGCAAAGCATGTAACGCGCTATTTTTTTCGCAATCACAATGGCACTTAGCGTGACAGATTGGGAGAAAGGATTCACGGAATCGATACAAATTAAGTCAAGGCCGGTAAAGGTCTCCGCTGGTACCATTATCCGTGACGGCCGGCTTTAACGCCTGGCAATTCTTACGATAGTTTCCGGCTAGCCGTCCGCGATGCCTCGCATCCTGCATCTGCCGTTGCTCCGCAGCAGCAGCAAGGAGGAGCGCGGCGCTCCGCTAGAACGCCCAAAGACCGCCGCGGTCCTTCCTTCCGCCATCCCCGCGTGTTCTTCCGTCGGCCCCGCGCCGAGTCACTCGTCCCTCCTCGAGCGCAAGACGTCGCTCCCCTCATTCCTCCCGCGCAAGTCTTCTGTGGAACAGGCGCGCAAATCCCCCTCGGAACAGCGCCCCGCAGAGCAGCGCCCGCTCCGCGAGGGTCCCCCGGCGCTGCGTCCCAAGTCCCCGCATCACCTGGAGTGGGTGCGCCAACTGTCGCTCTGGCAGGGCGCGCAGGCGCAGCAGGGGGAAGCGCAAGCACAAGCGCACGGCGACGCGCAAGGATGGCCCGCGGCGCAGGAGGCGGAAGTTCCTCGGAACGGACAGTTGAAGGCGTCGCAGGGGAAGGCACGCGGCGAAGCGCAGGGATCGGCGCAAGATGCACGGAAAGGGGGAGCGCGCAAGGACGATGCGCGGAAGGGGCACGTGTCTCGGCGGAGGCAGTTTGTGCAGCGGATAACGAGCCGGAGCGCGGATGCTAACTGTCTCCCTGAGGCGCCAATTCAAGACGTGTGGGAGGCGGCGGAAGCAGGAAGACTAGCTAAGTGGGTGGATAAGATGGACAGTGGCGATGGTAAGGGGATAGAATTGGACGGTCGGGATGCGCTGCAGCAGAATGGGTTTGGTGCGGGGGCGGCGGGGCAGTCGCATCAGGCGCATCAGTCTGCTGGTACTGTCCCCGATAGTGGCGTCTCCGTTAGTAGCTCAGGATCGACAACCAACTACGACGTTACGGATACCGCCGTCAGTGCGACGCCTGAGAGCCGAATTACTGAGACAAGCGAATATGCTTCAGACGGATCTGCTACAAACGCGGTCGCTCGGGGAGCGTGCGGCGGCGGCGCCGCCGCTGGCGTTGCGGCGGTTGTAGTACCCAGGAGTGAAAGCGCGGCCGCCGCTGTAGTAGCTAACGACGCTACAGCTGCGGCGGCTGTAGCGCGGAGTTCTAGCAGCAGCGCGCCGCGCTACAGCCGGTCGGGGGGCCATCGGCGGAGGTTCGTGCGCGCGGCTACCGCCAGCAGCGCGTCTATGGAGCTGCGCGGATGGGACAGGGGGAGCGGGGAGGGGGACGGGGGAGGGGAATGGGAAGGGGAAGGGGAAGGGGAAGGGGAAGCGGAAGCAACGGGGCGATTAGAGGAGGGGAGGGAGAGGGGAGCAGAGGGGGAAGCAGAGGGGGAAATGGCAACAGTCAAGGCTGCGTTTCAGGCTCGGAGGTCCCAAACCTTGTCCGGACGAGTTGTGCTTTCCTCCCCGAGCCCACCTGGTAGCTTCGACAGCACGTTTGGCAGCACCTTTTCCCGAACCGAATCTTATGGCAGCGACTGTAGCAGTGTGACTGTAGGGGGAGGGGGAGGGAGAGGAGGGAGAGGGGAGGCCGGGAGAGAAAGGGGAAGGGAGCACAGATGGCGGGCTGAAGCTCAGATTGTCTCTGGTGCTGACGTGGCTGCTGACCTGGCAGCTGCTGAGCTGGCAGCATCAGCAGCAGGTGACACGTCAGCCGCATCCGACTCGTCACCAGCAGACGCAGTAGCAGCAGGGATAGTCGTTTCCGCGTTGTTCACCCGAAGGTCCCACACCATGCGGAACCGCATGGTACCGCTCACCACCATGGCGGTTACCACCCCAAGAGCCCCCGGCACTGCTGCTGCTGTGGCCACTCCGGGGCGGAAGGGGGGCAGGGGGAAGGGGAGGCGGGGGGGCCGTCCGCCTACTCCGTCTGTAGTGGCCGCGGCTGTGGTTAGTCCGGGGGGAGGGGGAGGCGGAGGGGGAGGGGGAGGGGGAAGGAGAAGGGGAGGGGGAGGTGGGGGAGCCAGTCCGGGAGCAGCAGGGGGAGGTAATGGAGTGGTGAGTCCAGGGGGAGGTAGATCTGATGCTGGTGCAGGGATAAGCCCAGGGGGAGGTAGATCTGATGCAGGTGCAGGGGCAAGCCCAGGGGGAGGTAGATCCAGTACGAGTGCTGCACGGGTCAGCCCAGGGGGAGGTAGATCTGGTGCAGGTAGTTTCAAAAGACGGCCTGGTGGAGTGGTGAGCCCAGGAGGAGGCGAAACGCAGGAGGAGCTATCCTTCGAGACGAGAGATCCAGAGGTGCTGACTCAGCAGGTGCCGATTCAGCATGTGCTGAGTCAGCAGGTGCTGACTCAGCATCCACCAGAGGTGCTGTTTATCGAACCGCCTGCGCCACGGTCGCAGGTGGTCTTCATGGGGAGGGCGGCGGAACGCGGGCAGGTGCTATCTGGGGGAGGCGCAACTGGAAGGGCGCAGGTGCTATCTCTAGAAGTGCCCTCCCCAAGTCCTTCGCCTGGTCCCAGCTGTGGGATGGATTGGGAGGGGATAGAGATTGGCGAGGAGGGGGAGGAGGAGATTGGGGAGGAGGAGGTAATGTTTTTGAAGGGAGGGGAGGAGGACGAGGGGGAATATCAGCAGGGATTGAGATGGGAAAGAAGAGGGTTTGATGAGGAGGGGTGGGTTGGCGAAGAGGGAGGGGATGGGGAAGGGGAGAGGGGGTGGAGGGGGGAAGGGTGGGAGGGATGGAGAGGGGAGAGGGGGATGGGCAGAGGAGAGGAAGGAGAGGAAGGAGAGGAAGATGAGGGTGAAGATGAAGTGGGGGAGGAGGGAGAGGAGGAGGACGAGGCGGAGTTTTGTTCGCCTACGTGGCGCGAGTGGCATCACTCGGCGTTTATTGAGGAGGGGGGGATGATGGGGGAGACGATGGGAGAGATGATGGGGGAGACGATGGGGGGGATGATGGAGGAGAAGATGGGGGAGGTGGCGGAAGGCAGGGGGGTGGGGGAAGGCATGGAGGAGGGCGATGGAGGGGGGTCAAGGGAGGATGCGAGGGATGGTAATGGCGCAAGAGATTGCGGCGGCAGCAGCAGCGCTTGGCAGACAAGAGGGCACGAGGGCGCATATGTTGACGACGAGGAACATAAAATCAGTTCCATGTGGATGCAGACCGGAGGGCAAGAGGGCAGACTGGAGGGTGCAAATGTTGACGAGGAATATCACCTGTGAGTTTTTTGAGAATACCCCAAAAATGGAAAAATCAGTTCCATGTGGATGAACGGTGGTGGTGGTTCCTGGGACATTTTAAAAGCCTCAGTGGCAGGCCAATGGGATGCAGACCAGAGGGTAAGAGGGCAGATTGGAGGGCGCAGAGGCTGAAGAGAAATGTTTTATGTGAGTTCCATGGGATGGGGTCAAGGGAGGATGTGCATGGGTGGTGGTGGCGGTGGTGGTGGTGGTGGTGGTGGTGGTGGTGGTGGTGGTGGTGGCGGTGGTGGTGGTGGTGGTGGTGGTGGTGGTGGTGGTGGTGGTGGTGGCGGTGGCGGTGGTGGTGGTGGTGGTGGTGGTGGCGGTGGTGGTGGTGGTGGTGGTGGTGGTGGTGGTGGTGGTGGTGGTGGTGGTGGCGGTGGCGGTGGTGGTGGTGGTGGTGGTGGTGGTGGCGGTGGCGGTGGTGGTGGTGGTGGTGGTGGTGGTGGTGGCGGTGGTGGCGGTGGTGGTGGTGGCGGTGGTGGTGGTGGTGGTGGTGGTGGTGGCGGTGGCGGTGGTGGTGGTGGTGGTGGTGGCGGTGGTGGCGGTGGTGGCGGTGGTGGTGGTGGTGGTGGTGGTGGTGGTGGTGGTGGTGGCGGTGGTGGCGGTGGTGGTGGTGGCGGTGGTGGTGGTGGTGGTGGTGGTGGTGGTGGTGGTGGTGGTGGTGGTGGTGGTGGCGGTGGTGGTGGTGGTGGTGGTGGTGGCGGTGGTGGTGGCGGTGGTGGCGGTGGTGGTGGTGGTGGTGGCGGTGGTGGTGGTGGTGGTGGCGGTGGTGGTGGCGGTGGCGGTGGCGGTGGTGGTGGTGGTGGTGGTGGCGGTGGTGGTGGTGGTGGTGGTGGTGGTGGTGGTGGTGGTGGTGGTGGTGGTGGCGGTGGCGGTGGTGGTGGTGGTGGTGGTGGTGGTGGTGGTGGCGGTGGCGGTGGTGGTGGTGGTGGTGGTGGTGGTGGTGGCGGTGGTGGCGGTGGTGGTGGTGGCGGTGGTGGTGGTGGTGGTGGTGGTGGTGGCGGTGGCGGTGGTGGTGGTGGTGGTGGTGGCGGTGGTGGCGGTGGTGGCGGTGGTGGTGGTGGTGGTGGTGGTGGTGGCGGTGGTGGTGGTGGTGGTGGTGGTGGCGGTGGTGGTGGTGGTGGTGGTGGTGGTGGCGGTGGTGGTGGTGGTGGCGGCGGCGGTGGTGGTGGTGGTGGTGGTGGTGGTGGTGGTGGTGGCGGTGGTGGTTATCGTGGGTGGGTGGTGGAGTCGTCATAGTTGGAGTTGAATCTGACTTTTGAGTCGACTCAAAAGTCACATAATTGGAGTCAAATCGGAGTATTCTCGGAAACGTGAAAGAAGAGTGTTTTTGAAACGCCTCAAAAACACTCTTCTTTCGTGTGTGGGTGGTGGAGTCGTCATAGTTGGAGTCAGATTTGAGTATTTTCAGAAACTAACTGATTGCAATGGGATAGGGTGGGTGAACAGAAGCAGCGACTTTCCCCATTACTCCCTCACCGCACCCAAACCCCTCACCCCTTCCCCCCCCTCTTCACCCTCCCAAACTTTCACGCAGGCCCCCTATCCGCTTGAGAAAGCAGCGGCTCCCCCCATCCCTCACCCCCTTTTTCCCTTTCCTCCCCCTGTTAACCCTCTTCACCTCTCCCTACCCCGGTCTCCTTCCCCCAACCTCTTCAAAATCATCCTCAGGCCCCTATTTGCTGGACGCTCCCCGCATCCTCCTCTCGTCCCAACCCCCTTTCCCCACTTCCCCCCCCTCCCTTCCCCTACCCCCCCTAATTATCCCCTGCAGGCCCCTAACCGCTGGAAGCAGCGCCTCTCCCCGTCCTCTCCCGTTCCCCCCTTCTCCCCACTCTTCCCCCGCTCCTTCAACCCCCTTCACCCCCTCTCCCCACAAACCCTGCTCTGGGCCCTAACCGCTGGAAGCAGCGCCTCTCCCTTTCCCTTTCCCATTCCAGCCCTCTTTCCGCCACTCCCCCCCCCTTCTCTCGCCCTCATTCTCTCCGCTTCCCCCCAAACACCCCCCTGCAGGCCCTCAACTGCTGGAAGCAGTGCCTCCCCCCTTCCAGCTTCCGACAGGCTTCCGCCCCGCTCTCCCCTCCTCCCGCCTTTCCCCCAATCCCCCTTCCACCCCCTCCCTCAATCTTTCCTTGCATGCCCCTATCTGCTGGGAGCAACGCCTCCCCCCTTCCAGCAACCCACAGGTTTCCACCCCGCTCTCCCTCCCCCCTGACCTCCCGCCCCCTTTTTCCTCTTCTCCCCTCTTTCCCCTCTCCCCGTCCCCCCAACCCTCCCTGGCAGGCCCCTATCCGCTGGAAGCACCGCCTCCCCCCTTCCAGCTTCCCACAGGCTCCCACATCAATATACCTCCCCCCCTCCCCCCCCCCCCCCCCCCCCTCCCCCCCCCCCCCCCCCCTCCCTTCCAATCCCCCTCCCTCTTTCCCCCCGAAAACCCCTCTGCAGGCCCCTAACCGCTGGGAACAGCATCTCCCCCGTTCCAGCATCCCACAGGCTCCCACCCCGCTCTCCCCTCCCCCGAGCCAAGAAGCCAGGCTCGGGAGCCTCCGTACCTGTTACACCGAACCAGACCAGTGGCCCAGGCTGGGGGGTTGCCGAGCCTGAGGCCCCGAACCAAGGCAGCTCGGGTCGGAGCCCTGGTTACCCTGTTACTGGTATGAGGAGGAGCAAGAGTTCCCCCAGGATCAAGAAGAGAGAGGGAGAGGAAGGAGAGGAGGGGAGAGAGAGGGTAGTGGTAGTGGGGGAGAGAGGAGGGAGGATGGGGAGAAAGGGTGCAGGAATGCAGCTGCTTTTGCAGCAGCAGCAGCAGCAACCCTCGCAGCAGCTGCAGTTGCAGCAGGGGCAGCAGGGGCAGCAGCAGCAAGGGCAGGAAGGGCAGGAAGGGCAGCAGGGGCAGGGTGCAAGAGCAGGGAGGTCGAGGGTTGTTCAGCGCAGGTCCAGCAGCTATCATGGTGTTCCGGGTTCAGGTGGGGAGGCATCTCGGGTGGTGACTTTCAGCACTGCTGCTGCCTCTGATGGTGCTGGTGCTTCTGCCATTTCGTATTGCACCTCATCTGCTGCTGTCCCTCCTACTCCCACCTCTGCTACCACTGCTTCTTCGTCTTCTGCTGTAGCAGCGAAACGCCAAGAGGGGAAAGCACTAAGACGCCGTTCCAGATCACTCGTTGATGATCGCACTTCTGACCCCTTCGCCCATGCTAGTAATGCCACTGCTATTGCCGGTGCCGCCACCTCCGCCGCCGCTGCCGCGGCTGCTTCTGCTGAGAGTGCGATTCCCGTGGCAATGCGAAAGGTCGAGACACTGAGAACTCGTTCCAGGTCTCTTATGGACGAAGGGGTAGCAGAACCCGTAGCTTCTCAGACACGTTTGGAGGCACCAGCAGGAAACGCACAGCAGGAGCAGTCTGTTTGCATGAGGCGGGCCGAGACACTGAGAGGGCATTCCAGCAGGGGAATGGACCTACGGGGTAGTGCTGTTGCGGCTGCAGAGCAGCAGCAGCAGGTGGTGGAAATGAGACGAGCCGAGACGCTGAGAGGTCAGTCTAGCAAAGGATTCGACCTACGGGGTATTGCTGTTGCGACTGCAGAGCAGCAGCAGCAGGTGGTGGAAATGAGACGAGCCGAGACGCTCAGAGGAGCGTCTAAATCCTACTCTAAGGATAGTGCTGTCGAGAAGCAACAGCCAGTTGATATGCGGCGAGCAGAGACACTTAGAGGGCGGCGGGGGTCAGACTTGAGGGGTAGTGCTTTAGAGCAGCAGCAGTGGCAGCGGCAGCAGCAGCAGCAGCAGCAGAAGCCAGTTGAAATGCGGCGAGCAGAGACGCTGAGAGGGAGGCCTGAAACCATGCAAGTTGATCCGACGGCTCAGATTAAAGGCGATTACCGGGACATGAGGCGATCTGAGACGCTCAGAGGGCGGGCAAGATCTGCCCAGTTGGATCCGACGGTTCAGATTCAAAGCAGGCTGGAGATGAGGCGAGCAGAGACAGTGAGAGGGAGCGTGAGATCAGACCTATTGGGTGGTGCTACGGAGCAGCAGCACCAGCCAATCGAAATGCGGCGAGCAGAGACTCTGAGAGGATGGACGGGAACCATGCACGTGGATCCGACGGCTCAGATGAAAGGCGATTATCGGGAGATGAGGCGATCAGAGACGCTCAGGGGGAGGGCGAGATCCAATTCAGTGATTTTACCCTCTCAGGGCGAACCCCAGAGTTTTGAGACGTCTCAAAACTCGGAGGATTTACTCTCTCAGGGCGAACCCAAGGCGTTACCCACCCATGTGGATCCAACGGTCCAGAATGGGGGAGATTATCGGGAGATGCGCCGAGCAGAGACGCTCAGAGGGAGGGCGAGGTCCATTTCAGTGGATTTAATATCTCAGGGCGAAATGGGGGGTATGAGGCGGGCGGACACGCTTCATGGACGGTCCAGATCAATCCAAGCAGATCCTGCGGCTCAGAATGATTCTGTGGAGCAGGAGCAGTGCTTAATTAAGCGACGGGGAAAGAGTGTTTCCAGTCTCTCCCCTCACAGTGTGTCCCCATCTGGTTTCCCTCCTGTCCGCCTGTCTCCCCACAGTGTCTCTCCTCACAATGTGTCTCCTTACAGTGTGTCTCATTACAGTGTGTCCCCATCTTGTCTGCCGCCTCCTCACAATGTGTCTCCTTATAGCGTGTCTCCTTATAGCATGCCTCCTCACAGCGTGTCTCCTTATAGTGTCTCTCCTCACAGTGTCTCCCCGTATAACGTGTCTCCTGCGATGGTGTCTCCTTGCGGTGTGGATGTGTGTGCAACGATACTAGAGCCAAGTCCGGGGAGAGTCGCACACACAGCAACACATAGAGAAAGGAGCATAAGCAGCCCTGGGGAGGAGGACAGTGTGGGGGCGAGGCGAGGGGAGGGTGTGGACGTCCGTGCAACGTCATTAGCGCCGAGTCCGGGGAAGCAACACGCAGCAACGAGAAGAGAAAGGAGCTCTGGGGAGGAGGAGAGTGTGGGGATGATGAGGCGAGGGGAGAGCGGTGTTGGTTCTTCTGCTGCTGCTACTACTGCTGCTGCTGCTGATATGGGAGATGGTGCCTGGAGGAGCAGACTCAGGAGCACTTCAGGGGAGGAGAGTGAGGGGATGAGGCGGGGGAAGAGTGGTGGTAGTGGTGGCGGTGCTGCTGCTGCTGCTGCTGCTGCTGCTGCGGCTGCTGATGTGGGAGATGGTACCTGGAGGAGCAGAAGCAGGAGCACTTCAGGGGAGGAGGAAAGTGAAGGCACGAGGCTAAGGGAGAGTGGGGGGGTAGGCACAGGACGCAGAGCAACGCTTAGAGAAAGGAGCAGGAGCATAGGCAGCTCTGGGGAGGAGGAGAGTGAAGGTGCGAGGCTAAGGGAGAGTGGGGGGATAGGCACAGGAGAGAGTGTGAGGACGAGACGAGGTGAGGGGCTGCGAGGGCAGGATGAGGCGAGGGGTGTTGCAGGGATGGGAGGATCGGGGGGTGAGAAGAGGATGGGAGGGATGGGGATGAGAGTGAGAAGCGGGTCCGAGCTGGATAGAATGGGCGAGGGGGAGGTTGTGGAGATGAGACGAGCAGAGACACTGCGAGGGGAGGGTGTGAGGAGTGGTGAGAGGAGGATGGGAGGTGAGAGTGGGAAAGGGGTTGGGAGAGGAATGGAAGGTGCGAGAGGGGTGGAGGGTGGAAAAGGGGGTGGTGCGAGAGGGGTTGGGGGTATGAGAGTGAGAGCAAGGAGTGGTTCTGAACTGAGTGAGATGGGCAAGGGGGGTGCGGAGGAAAGATATGAGGAGCGAGTTGTGGGTCCGATGGTGGGTGGGGAGGAGCAGCAGCAGCATGCAGGTGTGGCGATGCGACGAGTGGAGACCATGTGGGGGGAGGGTGTGATGGGTGGTGCAAGTAGTGGGGGTGCAGCAGGTGGGGAGCAGCAGCACGATGCTGTGGTGATGCGACGAGTGGAGACCATGAGAGGGCGAGTCGAGCAAGTGCAGGTAACGCGGGGGGAGCAGCAGACGACGCAACAGGGACAGCAGCAGGGGCAGCAGCAGGGGCAGCAGAAGGGGCAGAAAGGGCAGCAAGTTGCAGTGCATACCGGCCCAAGGCTGAAAGGCAGTACACCTGCTGCTGGTGCTGCTGCTGCTAGTGCTGCTGCTGGTGCTGCTGCTGGTGCTGGTGGTGCTGCTGCTGCAGGTGTTGCTGCTGCTGGTGCTGCCACTGCTGCCGAGAGAAAGGGAAGTGGGCGAAGCTATCAAATGCGGCGATCCCGAACCTCCTCTAATCAGAGGCTCGGCTCTTCGCCACCCTCCCCTGGGAAAGGAGTTTTGGTTCGGGAGTTGGGTGGTGTGGGAGAGGTGCAAGCAGGGGAGCTGACGCGAGCAGAGACAACGAGAGGGAGGATGGAGCGAGGGAAGCAGCAGGGGCTGATGCAGCAGCAGCAGCCACAGAAACAGCAGCAGCAACAGTCACAGTCACAAACGCAGCAGCAGCAGCAGATGCAAGCGCAGTCAGACGAAAGCAGAAGCTCACCTTTCCGCACCAGCTCGGTTTTCGAGCCTCTCAAAACAGAAGCTGCCCGCAGCACTTCAGTTTTTGAGCCTCTCAAAACAGAAGCTGCCTGCAGCACTTCAGTTTTCGAGCCTCTCAAAACAGAAGCTGCCAGCAGTACGAGCACGAGGAGCAGAGGGCGGCACTGCATGCGGCGATCAAAAACCTCCTCCACGGAACGCCTCCTCTCCCGCTCCCTCTCGCCCTTAACAGACCAATCCTGCACAGAGCAACCCTCAGCAGAACAACCCTTTTTAGGGACACCCTTTGCAAGCGCAGCTAAAGGGGGTGAGGCGAGGCAAGGAGGGAGCGTGAGGGAGCGGGGGCGGAAGAAGCGGCTGAATGCGTGGGACGTGTTTGGGGATGAGGAGGATGTGATTGGGCGGGAAGGGTGCGTGGTGGTGCAATCAAGTGATGCCAGTGCTGCTAGTGCTGGTGCGCGTGTGCTCAATGCCAAGTGCTCCCCTCCTACGGGCTCCTCCCCTCCACTAGGTTTCGCTCCCAGCGTGTTTGAAAAATTAGCGCCTGCCCGGAGTTTCACATCTGCCCGGGAGGAGGAGGAGGAGGAGGAGGAGGTTGACTCGAGTCCACCACTCGTGCGGTCAAAGTCTGAAAAGAGGGCGGCGGGGCGGAGAGGACGGGGACGTGAGGTTTCTGAGAAATCTCAAAAGCCACCTGCATCAATCAGGGATGTCATATCTGCATGGGAGGAGGAGAGGGTTGACTCAGGTCAACCGCTGGTGCGATCAAAATCAGATAGAAGGGGGATTGCGCGTAGCGGAGGGGGGCGGGGGCAGGATGGGCTGATTTCTGAGTCAACTCAAAAGCGGGTGGGTGAGGGAAGAGGAGCGGGGCGAGATGGGGTTGTGGGGAAGGGAGACGGGGGATTGAGAGGAGACGATGCTGTGGGAGGGAGAGAGGCGGTGGAGGGGACAGGGTTGCGCCGTGCTGTGAGTGTGCAAGGGGGGTTGGGTAGCCGTATTGAGGCATGGTCACAGCAGCAGAAGCAGCAGCAAATGCAGAAGCAGAGACAGCAGCAGCAGCAACAGAGGCAGGAGGAAGAGGGGCAGCAGGAGGAAGGGCAGCAGCCAAGCAATCGGGTGAGATTACTGCTGCAGAGATCAATGAGTCGGAGGGAACGCGCAGCAGCGAAAGCCGCAGCACTAGAAGTGTTGTCAGCTGCTGCAGGAAGAGCCGCAGCAGAGGGAGAGAGAGAAACAGATGCAGCCCCGACTGCAGATATGTTTGCTAAGAACACCGTTGAGGGGAGGGAGCAGATGCAGCAGGGGGAGAGGCACAAGCAGCCTCATAGACAGGCCTCTATGCCTGCTCGCACGCCCAGAGGGACTAGTCTGATGGAGAGAGAGTGGGCGAAAGGGGAGATTGGCTCAACTCAACCCGTCAAGCCCAGGAGAAGTGAGGATGGAGGGAAAGGGAGGAGGAAAGGGACGGGTGAAGCAGTCACACGAGGTGGAATAGAGGAGGGGAGAGAGAGGGGAGTGGAAGGGGGAAGGGGGCAGGGGTCGCAGAGAGCAGCAGACGAGAAGCGGAGGCAGGGAGGGGGAGAGGAGGAGGGAGGGGAGAAGCAGCAGAGGGTGAGAGAGAAGGAGGCACTGAGGGAGATGGAGAGGGAGATTAGGGTTATGCGGGAGAGAAGGGCGAGGGAGCGTGCTGCTGCGAGAAAAGCTGCCGAGAGCAAGACAGGTGTTGAGGGGGGGAGTGGGGGAGGTGTGGAGGGTGGGGGAAGGGAGAAGGAAGATGGAAAGGGTAGGGAGGTTGGAGGGGGGAGTGAGTGTGGAGGAGAGCAACGAGGGTTAGAGAGGAGGAGCAAGAGTGTAGGAGAGGGTAGGCTGAGAGCAAGAGGGGTGGTATGTGAGGGAATAGAGGAGGCGGATTTAGAAGAGGAGGAGGATGTACCTAGCTACCCCCCTTTGAGTCGCAGCCGCACTCAACCCAGTCGCTTGCCTTCTAACCCATGCACACCGCGTTACACCCACCTCCCTCCCTTCTCACCACATCCCTCCCTTGCCCCCTTGTCCCTTGCCGAACCTGGCCCCGAACCTGTTTTCCAAACTGCTTACCACTTCGACCTGGTCCAACCGCTCTCTCCAGACCCACAGGTCTGGGAGGAGCCCGAGGCTGAAACCGAACCTGAGAACGACCCCCGAACCAAGCGCCGAGGCTTCCGAGACAGGCTGTTCGGCCGAAGCTCGAGCGGAGGTCGGGACAAACTCGCAGAGGCGGACAGGGAAGTGAGGGTGCTGAAGGCTCATGCTGGGAGGAAGGGGACTCATGGAGGGAGTGTGGGGGGTTTGGAAAGCCGAAACAGCCTGTTTGGGCGAGAAGGGTCGTATGGGCAAGACGGGGCGTATGGGCAAGACGGCTTGTTTGGACGGGATGGGTCGTATGGGAGGGAGGGTGCATTGGGCCTGGATGGCAGTGGTGGGAGAATGAGCAGAGACGGGTCTCTGAACGAGCATGCTGCCGTGATGAGCCGAGATGCTTTGTTCGCTCGGGACGGGCAAGGCGAGAACGCTTCTGGTGGGGTTGGTGGTGCTGACATGCAGGTTGAGTGCGGTACTGAGGGTAGCAGTGCGGTTCCTTTCTTGCCACAGGTGAAGCACCAAGCAGAGGCATACACAGAGAGTGGCGGCAGTGGCACCAGCAGCGGCGGCGGCCACAAAGGGGGTCGCTTTTCCCTGAGAAGACACCTGCAGCGGCTCAAAAGCGGCGAGGCTAAGGCTCCGGTTAACTCTCCATTACCCCGGGTAGTTGACTCGCTGTTTGATTTTGCCCCTGACGAGGCTGCAGGTGTTTCCTCCCCTACGCTCTCCTCCTCCCCTTCCCTCTCCTCTTCCTGGGCTGGTATGTTCTCCCGAACCCAGACTGGGAGCCGCCTGTCAGGTTCGGTAAGCAGCTGGGTCCGAAGCAGCTGGGGAGGCTCGGGAAGGGGGAGTAGGGATGGGGATGGGTTGAGCGAAGTTGCCTCCGCTGCTGTTGCCACTGCTGCTAGTGGTGGTGGTGGTTGCGCTTCTGCTTTTGACAGTAATGGGTACGGCGACATTGGTGTTGTGCCTATGCGGAGGAGCAAAACGGATGGGAGGAGGGACTATATCGAGAAAGGAGTGATCCCTGTCAGCATGAGCGAGAGCATGAGTTTTGCAGAGAACGAGCTCGTGAATGTGATGCGACGGGGGGTTGTGAAAGGGATGATGGAAGGGATGGATAGGATGGGGGGGGTGGAGGCAGGAGAGGAAGATGTGGATGTGGAAGGGGTATATGAAGCAGCACGGTTTGTCCCTCTCAAGGTGCCCAAGTCCCCTTCCTGGGCCAGTGAGATGGACATGTGGGCAACGGGGGGGCGATAGGAGTCAGGCAACACAAAGAAAGGAGGGGGAATTGGGTGCAGATGCGGAAGGGGTATACGAGACAACGACGTTTGCGCCTCTCAAGGTGCCCAAGACCCCTTCCTGGGCTAGTGGAATGGGCATGTGGGCAACGGGGGGCGATAGTCAGGAAAAGAGAGACGGGCGAGGGAGAAGGTGCGGATGTGGATAGGGTGGGCATATGAAGCAACAGAGGTTACTCCTCTCAAGGTGCCCAAGTCCTCTTCCTGGGCTAGTGGGATGGGCATGTGGGCAACAGGGGGCCGATAGGAGTCTGGCAAAACAGAGGGGGAAGGGGAGGGTGAAGGGGAGTGGATGTGGAACGTGCATACGAAGCAGCGCTGTTTGTGGCTCTCAAAGTTTTCTTCCTGGGCCAGTGAATTGGGCAAGTCTGTATTGCTCTTCACAACTCAACTCTAGGATGTTGTGGATGTAACAAACAAGCCTACGGTAACCTCCTTCCCTTCGCAATGCTGGAGAGGCTTTCAGAATTTGCAGCCAGTTATTTTTTATTATTATTTATATATTTTTTGCACCTTTCTGTGAGTGTAAAAGGTGCGTGTAACGTGTATTTATGATCAGTGCATAACCTAGAGAATCTGGCAGGTTTCCATGGCATCTATTGGTAAAAACAGGGAAATACCATAGCATACTTTCAAAACACTAGAAACAAACCAGCGTTATGATATATTAAATTACAGCCTACATGCGAAACCGCGAAATCTTGGGTGAGTGAGCGCAATACGGTTAAAGGGCGTGAAATTTTAAATACAGCCCAAGATTTAAATACAGCCAAAGTCTTTCCTTCGGACGGGAACACACTCACCCCCGACGGACGGAGGACAGACAGACTCAGACTCAGCACAAGACTAGCAGTGTAGTTTAGACGACAGCCAGCAGCAAAGTCAACCAGGTCAGCGACCAAGGCAGACGCAGCAGCAGACTCAAACGACGGGTCAGTGACAACAGTGGCTAACAGACGTGTGACAGTAGGGTGGGCAGCACGAAACTGGTCAGACTCAGGGTCCGCAACGTCAGGCAGAGAAGACGCAGGAGGAGACGGCAGGGGAACACACTGTGGAGCAGAGGAAGGACGAAGTGCCATAATGTGCGTGCCAGGGACAGGAGGCGGACGCTCACGAGGAACACGACCAGTGCGACCAGTGCGACCAATGCGAACAGGCGAGGGAGGACGGGACGCAGGCTCGCGACGCTCAGTAAGACCTCCTGTCTGCTCAGTGTAAGGAGAGGGAGCAGGCAGGGGGGAGCCAGGCTGTAACGGGAGGCCAGTAGACGACGGGAGGCTAAGAACCTGGCAAAGCACAGTGTTAGGTGGCGGCAGAGACGACGGTGACAGCGGAGAGAAGAACAGCCGCTGCGAAGCAGTGCCACGAGCATCAGTAGCTCCAGCGCCTCCAGCAGCTCCAGAACCTCCAGCGTCAGCACCTCCAACGCCAGCGCCACCAGCAGCAATACCACCAGCTCCAGCGTCCTCAGGCCCAGCGGCTCCAGCGTCGTTTGCTCCTCTCGCACCAGCCCCAGTACCCTCTGAACCAGCACCCCCAGCTCCAGGGACGTCAGCAGAAGCGCCTCCAACGGCAGAGCCCCGAGCTCCAGTAGCGCGACCCTGACGGCGAGCGTACCACTCGTGCAGCTGCTGTGGGGAGAGAGGCTCACGCGGACGAAGGCGGCCACTCCAGGAGACCGCGCACCAGCAGTCTCAGTACCCTCAGGCGCCGCACCCCCAGACTCAGCACCCCCAGGCTCCTCACGCTCAGGCTCAGCACCCCCAGACGCAGCAACCCCAGACGCAGTACCTCCAGTCTCCTCACGCTCAGGCACAACACCTCCAGGCTCAGCACCCCCAGTCTCAGCACCCCCAGGCCCAGCACCCCAAGCAGGACCACCCCCAGCAGGACCTGAGTCACAAGTGACCTCAACAGGCTCAGGCAAGGGAGGGTCTACCTGAGACACACCTGAAGGAGAAGGACCTGGCGCGGGGAGGGGGTCTACCTGGGGAGGACCTGGAACGAGAAAGAGCGGCGGGGGGGGGCGAGGGGCAGTGCAGTAGGGAAAGAGACGGTAAAAGGGGACTGACTCGTCAAAGGTGACGTCCTGAGACGCAGAGACACGACGTGAGGCGGGGTCGTAAAACTGCCAGCCAGGTTCGTCAAGAGGAAAACCAAGGAAGACGCAGGGAATGGCGCGAGCAAAGAGCTTGTCCACGGTGGTATCGCGGACAAAGGCACGAGCACCCCAGACCCGGAATCGCGACGCATCGCCAACCTCCCCCGTCCACAGCAGTGTGGGCGAGGTCATCGGCAAGGAGACACGGGGCCAGAGGTTGAGCAGATGCGCGGCGTACCGGACCGCAAACAGCCACACAAAATGGGGGGCAGCCGCATGGACCATGGAGGTACGAGCGACCTCCATGACTAAGCCAATGCGGCGCTCAGCAACCCCATTCTGCTGCGGAGAGGCCGGAAGCGTGAACGTCTGGCGGATGCCGTTCTCCTCACAAAAAGCCTGCAAGAGGTCGGAGGTGAACTCACCACATCTGTCAGAGTGCAGACGCAGGACAGGAAAGTCCGACTCGAACCGCTCGCGGAGCTGGAGACGAACAGCGTGGATCCAAGGGATCAGAACAGCAGGGACATGCCCCTTGCGCTGCAAGGGGAAGACCGTGGTGTAACGCGTATAGTCGTCGACAACCAGCAGGAAGTACTGCTCGCGGCCCTGCCCCTGGACGCGGGCTGGGCCCCACACGTCTAGGTGGAGAGTCTGAAGCGGAGCCTCTGTGGGAGGGAACGAGGAGTGAGGAGCGGAGCGCTGCCGCCCCTTGACGCAAGGAGCATAGGGCGGCGCAGGCGAGGGAGGGAGGGCAGGCAGAGACCTGGGAAGACCAGAGACCAGGGAGCGAGAGTGCATGCCACGAAGGCGGGGCAGGGAGGGGTGACCAAGGCGGTGGTGCCAAAGGAGAAGCTGGTGCGACATGCGACGACACTTACACTGGGTGGCTACCTGAGCGGACGCATACAGCTGAGGAGACAAAGGGACGTAGCGCAACACTGTGGTGAGGGTGTACAGATTCGACCCAGGCTCACGTGTGAACGTGGCCAGGTGGCGGCCAGTCTTAGAGCAGGTGCAGATCGCCACACGCTGTCCTCCAGGAGTAAAGGTGTCAACCCAATGATCCTGAAGGACGGCGTTGCTCACCAGGTTTGTAGAGAATGAGGGGATGTGGAGACCTGACAGCTCACCGGACGGGACCGCCGGGCATGGAAGCACAGTAGTGGACCGTGCAAGCACTGGGCCCCCAGAGGGGTCAGCCAGTGAGACAGGGACAAGGGTAGGGAGGGGAGTGACTGTGGTGCTGTCGCGAAAGAAACAGCGGGAAGCACCAGAGTCAAGTGTAAAGGTGTGCAAGGCCTGAGCTGACGCAGTACCAGGGAGAGCAGACTCACTAGCACCTAGGGCTGCAGCCTCTATACCTGGATCAGGCAGCATACACAAGTAGCAGTCACCCTCAGCACTAACAGTCAATGCATATATGGCAGCAAGAATTGCATCATAGTCAAGATCAAAGATAGGAACATCACGCTTAAGCAGGTCTGCCCAGTAGGGGAACTCAGTAGCGTCAGGAAACTTGGCGCGCCAGGCGTCGCTAAGCCGAGCGAAGCAGCAGTACTCAGTGTGAAAGCCGTTGCATGGGCGACCGGCGCGGGGACCTGCGCGAATGATATAGGGGCAGCGACCAGGACCCCCAGACGCCCCACGCCCGGCATACCAGTCATGAAGCTGCTGAGAAGTGGGGGTCTGGCGCTGACGCTGCTGCTGCTGCTGCTGCCCCTAGCCACCACTGGAGCCCCCCTTTTGGCCGGCTCCACTCCCGTCCCCACCACCGCCTCCACCACTACTCCCTCCTCCGCCACTACCACCGCTGCCACCTCCACCGCTCCCAGTACCACCGCCGCCCCACCCACTACCTCCACCCCCACGACCACCCCCACCACCTCCGCCTCCACCACCGCCTCCTCCATCGCCTCCTCCACCGCCACCTCCACCACCCCTGCCTCCCTTGCCGCCCCTGGTGTTGCGGCGTTTCGCACTAGGAGTGGAAGCAGCTGCGACCTGCTCAGCAGAGGCGTAGGAGGGGGCAAGAGGAGAGGGGGAGCAACCCTCAAAGAGGGGAGCACGTGGAGTGCCATGAGCACTGCCTACAGCTAGAATGATCTTTTCTGCTGCTAGGAGCTCCTGCTTGAAGTCGTCGACAGTAAGAGTGGTAGGGTCTTTGGCGAGAAAGTGGTCCGTGACTGAGCTAAGAGTGTCAGGGAGGCGGGTGACGAGGAAGTAGAGGGTAAAGTACATCGCGGGGGGGGGTTTTGGCGAGGAAATCGGCTGGAAGAGCGGCACGAAAGCGAGTGTCACTAGCGAGAAGGTGAGAGATGAGGTCCTCAGCAGTGGCAAAGGAGGACATGTCAGGGAACAGGTAGGGCAGGATGAGGCGACCTAGGGCTGCAGTGGCTGGGGAAGAGTAGCGCGCAACTACAGCGTCATACAGTGCCTTAGCAGTCTTGTGCTGACAAAAATGCGCGCGCTCAGTGATCGGCAGATGGTTGCGAATGGCGAGGCGCGCAGCAGCATCACGAGTCTGCCACTGTGAGCGGTCAAGAGCGGCAGCAGTGTCAGCAGGAGCAACGGAAGTGCTAGACGCGTGATCGAACAGTGAAACTCTGTCTTTGGCATCAGTCATAAGTGTCAGAATGTTATAATTGTCTAGCCTGCAGTGGGGTACTCCATAGTGAGTACAGCCCAATTAGGGTTTGCTATATGTGTCCAACTGCTTGCTAGTGAATACCCCCCTTTCTTCATTCTTACTTTCTACTGCTAGTTCTGACATGCTATCAGAGCAGGTCGATCCCCTTGGGTCGATCCTGTGGGTGGGCCCACCACCTCACTGCTTCCGCTGCTACTGCTACTCT